GCTAAATGAAAGAGGTATGATTTGTGGATTTGGTCAGTATTTGATTGAAAAAGCGGTTGCAGAAAATTTGCAGCATTTGAAACACGATATTAGTACTATTCCCATTTCTTCCAGTGAATGTGAACGAGGGCTTTTGCAGATGAATTTGATTGTCACCTCAACCAGAGCTTTGTTGATGACAAAAACCATTTCAGCACTTTTGTTTATTAAACTTGTTGGACCACCCCTTCCATACTTTGACCCAAAAAAATATATAGAGTCATGGTTGCTCCAAAAATGTCACTCAGCAGTAGACATCAAAATCAAAGGAACGAAGTCGGGATATTGCGTCAGATGTGAACATGATGAAATATTCTATAAAACAGTAATTCAGTAATAATGGTTGGAGATGGCTTGAATGGGTAATGAAGAAAAACTTTAATATAAGTTCAACATAACAGCAAATGTACAACGTTTCGACAAGGTTTTGTCATCTTCATTACCCATTCAAGCCATCTCCAACCATTATTAGTCTCAAAGTGGGTTAAAACTTGGTAACTGAAGCTACCACAGGGTATAAAAGTTGCAACATAGTTGTCCTAACAAGTATTATGTACCATACGAAACTTTTGACATTGTCTTTGTGGCATACCATCATAATAATAATCACTAATAAGTATTTACATTATGCTGGTATTTGTTCGTTTTTAATAATGTTGAACACCTAAGAAACATACCAATCCAAAATTTCAATAACATGAAGTATATATGAAACATATATCTGCATATTTTCAAAACATACTTACCCTCCACTGACACTTTAGCTATTCCTCGATGTTGGCTTTGCCTATCTAAGCGTTGATCTCGCATGCTCCAGTCTTTTATAACCCACTTAGATGCCTGTGGCAATATATAATTTGCAAATCCCTCCACCTGCATCAATGTGCCCTCAATCTTGACACTGTATATAATAAGCACCTCATTCAGATAATGTTATCAGTTTTTCTCGACAGTGTGTTGGTCATGGTTTTCCAGACGAGGGGCTGTGGTTCATCCTGTTATGGATTTCTATTTTCACGTTGCCTTGTGGATTTCCATATAATTATTATTTCCTTTAAAGAAATGGATTTGATGATTGTGGGTATGAATTCCCATATTACCCTTGTCAGCACAGTGGTTAATCTCACCTCCCCTATTCCTCCTCTGTTATCTAGTGTCTCTTTACAGTTGGGAAGGGAGTCACTCTCAGTTGAGGCTATCTGTGTTTTGATCTGTTATGAGATGGAAACATACATTTGGCCTAGAGGTATTTTCAGCTTTTCACGACTCCAATATGGATCAACCACCTCCTACTCCTTTTCTTCAATTAGTCATTTGGGTTATGAAACTTTGGGACTTTTCTCTGTGACCTTTGAGTTGACTCCTCCCTTGATGGTGAAATGGTTGGGGGGGGGGGGGGGGCTATTTAGTTATTTCTTCTTCACCTAATATTCTTTGTTCATGCTGAGAGATTTACTGCTTTATTATGTGATGGGGTAGATATACCTTGTACTCTTGTTTGTCTGTTTACATGCTTTGGCTTTCCACCTCCAGGGGGACATATTTTTTTAATTCCACAGACTAAAATTATTTTATTTTGGATATGTGGGATTCCAGATTGGTTCATGTTATCACTTTGTACCAATCACATTTTTTTTTATATTTGTTTGTTCCTCAGTCTTGCTCTGTGATGTCTCTTCCCGTGCAAATTGTTGGCAGCCTATCAATAGTTCCCACATTAATTTGTGGATGAATTGGGTCTTCTACAGACTTCTATCTTGATCACTTTGACTGCTTTTGTTCTTTCTGTAGAGATACCTTGGTGAAGGGACTTTGTGTACCTGCTGTAGCCTCTGGGTGTTACATGTGGCTTCTTTTTATCATCACTTCATGTACGCGGGTGTCCCAAAGGTACTACATGCTTTGTCTCGACAACCATTCGAGCCTTTAGCCTCAAGCATCCACCTATTATCTCTCCCTTAATGGGTATTTTGTTGCTTCTGGCATGTTGATATCATCAGTTGTAGTTGTTGACATGTTTGTAGGACTCTATATCTCTCCCTGTAGGTCCTTCTGTACCATCATAGGTCCTTTCTTTCTATGTCTCTGGTAATCAGGGAAGGGGATATATCCCTCTCCACAGTTCTTTTGCCAACTATTTTTCACCTCTACAATCGATCATACGCTGATTATTTGTTTGTCCTGTCAAGCCCAGAGGTGTTATGTGGCTCACTCTAACTCCTTTCATGGTGGTAGTTCTTACCTCTGTATTCTTTGGAATCCTTTGGTTTCCTGAGATTTATCCCCACTTCCTTGGAGGTGGATTTGCAAATACCCATGTGGCATATTCTGGATTTTACAGGTGAGGAATCTCATTTCATGCTGATAGTTCTTACCTCTGTGTTCTTTGGGATAATTCGGTTTATTGAAATTTATCCCCACTTCCTTGGAGGTGGATTTGCAAATATCCATGTGGCATATTCTGGATTTTACAGGTGAGGAATCTCATTTAATGGTGATAGTTCTTACCTCTGTGTTCTTTGAGATCATTTGATTTACTGAAATTTATCTCCACTTCCTTGGAGGTGAATTTGCAAATAGCCATGTGGCATATTCTGGATTTTACAGGGAAGAAATCTCCTGAGAGTTACCTTTCATCAGCTTCAGCACATTTATGTCTTTCACTGCCCATTTCTTTGATTCACTGGGGAATATTTAATTGGCCTGTATGTGGACTTCTCCTAGTGCATTTATCTCACATTCTATATATGATCTGGCAGTTTTTCTTCTGGGGGTTTTCTACTATCTCCATGGCTGTTTTAATAACATCTGCTGGATTATATAGAGGAGGGATTAATTATATATTCTCTTTCTTTTCCAGGGTCCCTTACATCATGCTTTCACTGGATCTCACTCTGTGGCAAGTGTTGCCCATACAGGTGTGCTTTTATCAGTCCAATTTCACACTAGCAACCAATTTGACTATACATAATTCTGGTTGCAACATGCTCTGTAGGAATGGGGTGTTCTATAAGACCATCTAGGTGCATTAATAATGGCTGGAGACGGATTGAATGGGTAATAAAGAAAAACTTTAATATAAGTTTAACATAACAGCAGATGTACAACGTTTCGACAAGGTTTTGTCATCATCTAGGTGCATTATCGGATGGTATTACCATATTATCATGGACCACTACTCATTGACTGTCATGAGTAAAGCTAAAGAGGATTCTACCTGTCCCTGCTGATCATTGTATTGAATAAATCTGGGTCGGTTTGCTTTTAAAAATCTAGAGAACTTGGTTCACCTATTGTACTGTTTCTAGAGCACTGTTCATCAGGGTTCCCCAATGCACAATTACCTCCAGGTTCTACTAGTGGAGCTAGGTTGTCCTTACCATACCCAGTTTCCAGTCACTGTGGTGGTGGACAGAGACCTTTCCTCCAGAGTGCTCAAGTCTGTTCCTCCACTCTTGGAGAAGAGAGCAAAGCTGGGGGCCCTCTTTCCCGGGTCCCTCAATGTATTTCCCAGGTATCTGTAGGAGTGGCACTTGCCTACGTGGAAGACTACTTGTAGTACCGGTTCAGATTTGATACTATGCTATCCAGTTGGGGTGTGCTTGGTCTTTCTTATGAACAATATTGGGTTGTATATTGTTCATGGTCCACTATCTCCTCATAATTCCAAACTCATAGTGGTCCCATCCTAGGTTTCTGGTTGAACACAGTGTTCCATGTCCTCTTCATAATTCCAGGGGCAAGTGGAATGCTCCTTGCCTTCTTGAGTTCTGTTCTTTTGGTTGAATAAGGTATATATGATCCAGTAATTCTGAATCTAGGGTGGTATCTTTTGGACTTTTTCAGGTGGAAGAGAAAGTTTGTCCACATCAGTGTTGCTTTCTTTCTTGTTGTAATTCTGGTGGTTCAGAACACATCACTCTATGGCTACAGGTTGGGATCCAATCAAAAATATATCTGTATTGTGGTCCTATTCACCAACATAGAATGTAGTTGTGGAACCTCGGTTATCTGGTTGGGGCTGGCCTACCATAATTACTCATGTACTAATCTACCCTTGGTGAAGAACATACCTGTCTCGATGTAGTGCAGTTTTCCCACTTGGGTACCACTCTTATCTTGGTACACCCCTATTCTATACAGATACAGTGCACTCACTGGCCCCTCTACCTTCTCATTGTGGGATTCTAGCTAAAGTGGCAGTGGAGGGTATATATGTTTTGGAAGTTAACATTTTCCTAAATTTAAAATGTATTTCCAATAATACTTACCTCTGCTGACACTCTACCGCCCTTCCTCCACACTAAGAGCCGGTGTTAGAGACTGGGATGGTGTAAGTCTTGTAAAAGTGAATGAGGTGTTTATATACAGTGTCAGGATAGAGGTTGCATTGACGCAGGTGGAGGGATTGGCAAATTAGATATTGCCAAAGGCTTTTAAGTGGAGTATAAAAGACTGGAGCATGCAAGACCAATGCTTAGATAGGCAAAGCCAATGTCTTAAAATAGCTGAAGTGTCAGCAGAGGTAAGTATTATTGTCAAAACATTTTCAATTTAGGAAAATGTTAACAACCAAAGGTTGGTTGTAGATGAATTTACTTTTTACAACCAGTTTCTATTTACAAACTTGGTTCGAGAATTGTAGCTTTGTTGGATTTTTATTTTAAGAAATACAGGTACATTTTCTATTGTATTAATTGTTGTTGGTTTTATATGTTGCTTCCCCAAAAGGAAGAGTAGTTATGCCAATAAATTACTTACAGTGAAAGATAACTAGTTTATTTGTGTGTCTAAAGTTTTAATACACAGACTCACTATAAAATTGACATGATATGCTTTGTTAATTTTCCATTTTGTTCATGATTGTGTTTTAAATCATTCAATAAGCATTTTATTGTTCAAACAATATTGTATTGACTTAACACTTACCATTATTCTGACCATTTTTGCCAATTTTAAAGGCTTTTGTTGAGAGCAACCCAAATATAAAGTGGTGCCCTTTTCCTGGTTGTGGACAAGCTGTTAGACTGCCAGAAAATGAAATAACAACACCAGAGTTTGTTGCAATTCCCAATACTTCTCCACCTTCTCCTGTTTCACATGCAGTGGATTGTGGTAATGGTCATTATTTCTGTTGGTAAGAATTTTTTTATATTAATATTTTATTAAGTAAAATCCCTGGTAGATACAACCCCTTCCAATAATGACTGCCTTTCAAATATAACTTTTTTTTTCTGTGCAGGGAATGATTTTACATTGATCTGACCTCCCACAAATGACTTCATGACAAATGTGATATATAACTGTAATTTTTTGGCAGAAGGTCAAATAATGACCTCTCTATAACGAATTTTTTTCATATCAATAATGTAATCTACAGAGACACATGAATACAGTATGGAACAGAGAGGTCACATGATTGGAGATTGCTTCACAGCTTAGTATATGTATCTTGGGACTCTGGGGTGTTCATGTCAAACTCCTTGGTACATACATGTAAGTATTTTGGTTTAAAAACTTTCAAGTCCTGAGAGGTAACTAGGGGCAGTCAGAAACTGTTGTTTGTCTTCACCCCAATCACGAAATTAAGGTTTATTCTTTTAGTGAATGTAGTACATTTTGAGTTAGTGGCCTAGACATTAAGTCACTTGATTAGGATTTACAAGTTGGGTGTGAAGATTATTAACTCGCGGTTTGTTGAGTAACAGACTGGACTAATCTGTGAGGTAAGCCTGGCTAATGAACTGCCTCAAGGCATCCAGTAAAGTTGAGAACAGGAAGTCGCTGTGAAGAAGAAGAAAGCTCGAAGTGTTGATATAAAAACGTGATGTGGACATTGATATTGATCAAAGTGTTTGACGAAAGCAACAAATTAAACAAAATATGGAAATTGGAGAATTTTTAGTCAACTTGAAAATGTTTTAATGCAATATATTATATTTTATGTAGTATTTGTATTCAGAGAGGATTACCTTATTAGATATTGGCTAGAGTCTAGCAATAATTTAGTTCAGAAATGTATTCTTATTTCTTTACTGGTTCTTTTAAATTTGTGGAATGGTCCCTTTTCAGAACTGGGATCAAAGGATCCAAGTTTTAAAGTGAAATTTTGGTCTAGGGTGGGGCTGTTTTCTTCAGTTGAGATAAGTAGCTTCTGATGTTTAGTTCTTTGTTTAAAATTACTATGTTTTGTATAGATATACTGTGGATTTTTTGAGTTGCAATGGTGATAAATATGGGATGTTTTTTATTATGTTCAGTGAATCTGGTTTCCAATTTTCTTCCAGTTTCTCTGATGTAGAATTCTGGACATTTATTGCATGTTAGTTTGTAAATTGATACAAAAATCATGCACCGAAAACTAACAATGAAACACTTCTTGATATAATAACTGCCAGACTTGTCAACATTCAAAGTGACTCCATTAAGTGTGCAAACAAAGAAAGATGGACAATTTTTCATGAAATAAATTTTGTGTCAGTTTGTGATATTTTATATGAATGTAATAAAAATGTGATTTGTGTATTTTTATGAAATAAATGTGATCAATAAATAAATTATTTTACATAAAACACAAACAAAATAATTTTAAGTTATCTTTATTGAACTGTTATGTATCCTAACTATTATTATACAGTGTACCAATTTGCTACATTATCTGACATCCTAGTCAATATATTAACCATTATGCTCAACCCGTGGGAATAGCAAATGGCACAGCTTGAACTCGGTCATTCGTTAGCTGGTTATCAATCCTTTGAATAACAACTTCCGTCGGCTGTGACTTTTTTATCATTACTTGGTCGGTCGTGTCTGAGAGTGACTACTGTATTCAAGGATTTATTGATCTTATATTTACTGTTTCAATTTTTTAAATGGTTTGTTATACTTTACAGATATTTAGAGAAGATGAAATAGTATTAAAATAATAGTACTGATGGTCTTTTACTTGTTGAGAAAGTAAAACTGGCAACACCCACTTTGTGACAGATATTTGTGAATGTATGTATTGACATTGTAAATGGCTTGTTCTCTTTTATAGACATTAAGATAAAAAATTAATTGTGTTAAAAGGTTTTAGTTAGAAGTATATAAATAATGAGTATTTTTCTGTGGGATACTCATAAATCCTGCAAAAGACATTTGAGTAAAGGTGTTACATAGGATCAAGCCTGCAATTTTATGCCTGTGATTGAGCTTAAAGCTTTGTGGCTACTGTCATAGACTGTACTAAAGTCAAGTCATTCTAGAGATATTCATTGTTTCACAGAGTTAATTTTAAATTGATATTTTACATTACTGAAACATAGAGATTTCTTGCTGTTATAATATGCAACAGAATACATGTATGAAGCTTTGATTATTTGACATCTAGTGCTTCACTGAGTGAAATGCCATTTTTTATTATTAAACATCAAACTTTTTTGCTGATTCATATGCAATAAAAAAAGTAATGTAAGACAACACTATGTTTAGTTCTACTGTTAAAATAACTACATAACAAATATCCAGCTATGTAGGAAAAAATTAAGGTACATCTCAATGATACATCTAGTTACAAACCACTTAAGAAAGACCCTAAAAAAATTGGAAAGGAATGCTAAAGACATTTTGGAGCGATTTAAAACCACTATACCCATGCGACTTCTTGATAACCTTAGGTCATCTCATTCAAAACTTCCTGAACTGTATGGATTACCCAAAGATCATAAACCTGATTCACCCCTAAGAACCATACTCTCCATATGCAACTCTCCTTTAGTGTCTGTATCATGGCTGCTTGAAAAGTTACTTCACCCTCTCCTTAACAAAATACCTTCACACCTTAATAGCACCGATGACTTTTTCAACGGATTATGCAAAGATGATTTACAGATAAATTCGAACACTATCCTCTTGACTCTTGATGTTGTTTCTATGTATCCATCCTTTCCAATAGAAGAAAGTATAAGCTTGGATATGAATCTTCTTAGATCAACCAGCTGTTATACTAATTGATATTCCTACAGAAGTCATTGAAAATTCTCTCAGATTTATTCTCCACAACAATTACTTCAAATTTGATTCGACTCTCTAGAATCAAAAGAAAGGCATCACTATAGGCAATAATATTTCTGTCATTGTGGCCTCTGTTTTTATGCATTTCTTTGAATCATCAGCTCTTACTCATGGAATTTTGAAACTAATCTTGAACCCACTAGATGGTACAGATATATTGATGACATTTTTGGTACGTGGATCATGGACTCCCTTCTCTTTTGGAATTGGTTGAATTCCTTAACAGTCAACACTCTGACATAATGCTCACACTTACTCATACCCATAATGTCCAGAAATCTATACCCTTTCTTGATACCATGGTCACTATCGTAAACAGCAAACTCGTGACTTCCGTATATCAAACCACATGTTAAGCCTATTATTCTACATTTTAACTCACACCATCCACCAGCTACTAAATGAGGTGTCATTATCGGTCAACTTAATAGTATTGAGAAAATCTGCAACACCACGGACGATAAGATGTAAGCCAGGGTCAAACTTTAAAAGCTACTATTGTCCAATAGCGACCCGTATAGTTACATTACAAAGATATTTCACAGTTTTGACTCCCAAGATATTAACAAACAATATAAAAAAAAGAAACTACTACATCAAGACACTGTTTCATGGATTATGTATGCCCTTTGTCGATTAACCTTTAACTACTTGCCTTCGTCAAGCGATTAGAAGATCTGGTTTGAATATCAAAATCATACAAAAACCTGGTAGAAAACTGAAGGATATACTCACTCGTTCAAGCCTTTAATATCAACAATATATGTAAATCCAAAAGGTATTTTGCAAAGACGAATGGCTTAGAGAAGTCCTGCACACTTAAAAACACTCTATGAACCTACATGTACACAGTGTTCGGCCACATATACAGGTGAATCCAGTCATCTAATACATGATCATTTCAAAGAACACATTCATGCCACTGGGAATTTTGGCAACAAAGAAGCCACTACTGAACATTACTTAAAAGAACACAGCACAATCAATGGGACACCTTATACAATCAAAATTTTAGAAACTTGTGACAATTTTCTTGACAGAAAATATAAGGAATCACTTTTGATTCAATCCAGACTTGTTTCCATTAATAGGTACAATGCCTGGCCCTTTTAACATTTTATTTTTATTATTATTAGTTTTATCATTACTGATTTTATCTATTTTTATGTTATTATTATCATTTTCCCTATTTTTATGATCAATGATTCAAAACTGTTTGACTACACTTGTATCATGTATACTTTTCAGTTATATTGTTCTAGCTGTATCTTGTTTTCATTTATTGTAATTAAAAATCAGTTTGGTAACATTTGATGTTCATAGACCCTTGATAAAAACGTAAGACAAAACATCAGGTACATGTAATTAAACATTTTTTCTGAAGTTGTTTGTCATCTTAATTAAATAACTAGTGCATGGTACGGTTTGTTATTAGTGGCCAATCAAGAACACCATACTCAGCCATTCACATTATTATTATTCTATCAGTGTATGTGAGATCTTTATACAGAAATAAAATCCGTCATTGACTCATCATATTATGTGCACACTAACCAAGAACTTAACTAGCATTTCTAAAAGAATGTAATGGTTTAATTTTTAGTTAACTTTTGAAATAAAGCATGTTGACTAATAATAATACTGTCATGATATAAAAGATTGTTTAATATAGGTAGTATTAATTAATTTATTTTGGGAGTTAATATTTCATGATTGTTTAGTTTCATTCATAATAAGAAAGTTAAGAGCAGATGATTGTTGGAAGTTGTCTTTGTAAGTTATTGATGTCAAGGCTACAGAGATTTCTAGAACATCCTGGTGAGAGATATAAATAGAAGCAACAGAGGAGAGAGCAGGAAGAGAGTCAAGAGTAAAGCCAATTGAAAAAAAGAGTTTTGGTCAGAGAAAGGCTAGAAAACATAAAGTTAATCATCGTAGGAGTGAATAGCCTAATGCTTGATATATTAAAGAGAGATGAACAGTTTTCTGACATTTTAGGAGAATAATTTGTCTCGTCAAAGGGTGTTCTAAATCACTTGAACCTACCTGTGTGGACAAAATGCAGACGTTTATTGAAAG